CCGCGTCCCGTGAGGATCACTGACAAGTGGACCACGGTCATGCTAATCCCACCTGTCAGTCACACAAGGGAACGCTCCCGGTGCCTCGTAGCGTTTAGCATTCGCACTGCTGGTATATTTTTTTTATCTGAGCCTCGTTTAGATGATGGTTGGGAATCAGTATTTGGCACTGTAGCAATTTCGTTTGTATTTGACAATTATTGTCCAATCATGGTCTAACTAGGCTCAAAAGATTCGTCTCGTAATTTACAATCAAACTGTGTAATTAGTTATTTTTTTATCTATATTCAATACTCCATGTATGTATTCAAAGATTTGATGTGATAAAAAAAGAGTGAAAAAACTTGAATCTAAACAAGGCCCTGGTCGTAGCAGGCACGAGGCGCCCAAGATGCGCCTGCACTTGCAGGCGTGAACGGGTGGCTCGGCGGTTCTGGATTGGCCCGGGGTCGTGCGGGTGCATTGAACCTGGACGTCTTTTTCCGTTGCCAAAAGCTGGATTCCCCTCTCCTTCGTCGCCTCCCTTTCCGCGCGCGCAGCCCACCGCACGAAGTGAGCGAGGTCAGAAATGAGATCAGGGGCCAAATCTCGTGTGGCAGCTTGCACTCTGTTTCTGGCGTGATGCCGCGACGGACTGAACTGACAGCGAGTGGCGTGGCCTCTCCTGGTCTCGTTGCTCCTCCTGTCTCCTGTGCTTGGATCAAGCCGCGCACCGGATAATTTGCAGCCCCGTTTCGAGGGAATTTGGTGTGTGCGGTAGCCGGTAGTGGTGGGATTTGCAGATCATTGGCGACGTGTCACGGTTGCGGCGGAGTGCGTCTGTGCATAGCGCAGCCGGTGCTGATTCTCTGTGCCACAGAGCTGAGCCCGAAAGCTCCGTTGCTTTCTTTTCCTTTTGCGGGGATGCCTAGTGCTGTCAAAGTGTCAACGGTCGACGTCACCACCCGTTTCGCTTTCAGAGAGTGCACGTCAAGATCTTGGCAAAAGTGCGTACAGTACAGATAAGCGCTGTTTGTTGGAGAGTTTTTGGGCAAAGAACATCTGAGTTCGTACCGCTCATGCCGGAGGTCGTTTGGATTAAGGCTTCGTTCGGTTATAATAATTTCTGGCCAGTTCCATTCCTACCCTCTCCGTTTCTTCAGGGCATGTTCGTTCCCCCCCGAATCACCGTCAGAAACGATTCCCAGCTGGAATCGTTAGTTTATTTGTATAAGATTTCATCAGCAGGAATGAATCCTGGTATCAAACTGCCCCAAACGAACGAGCCCTCGGTATTTTCTATAGCACGGGAACTGATCCTGCCCAGCAGCAAAGACCGGGAACGGTATAAACGAACGGGCCCTAAAGGATTTTCATAGAAAATCAAAGGAAACCAGAACGATGGAATGGGAAGCGAGTAGAGCATCTTTCCTTTACTTTGGAACACTGTATCATCATCTTCACGATTTCACGGGAAAAGCAGAAATCTACTCCAACCTTTGGTTTTGCTTCCTTCACGGAAGCCTGAAGTGGATACACCATTAAACTCATCGGATGGATATGATAGCGCACAATTGTTTATCAAGCTGGAGGCCTGGAGTAGTGGGGTTGTCGTCCTTGTGCGCGTGTACTTGTTTGTTGCTAAATGTTGCCAGCTAATGATGGCGTCAAGATAAACACCATGGTTGTCGGGTTGTGTGAAGAGAGTGGGGGAAGAGAGGAGAAAGATTGGAGCTGTTGGAGAGTGGAGAGTGGAGCTCGATGTGTCTCGATGACGGAGATGGTGGGTTGCTTGGATTGGAATGGCCGGATGATGAAAAAAAACTACTACTCTACTAGTAGGGGCGAATGAATCCGACCATTCGCTGTGACTCAATTTGACTGTTGCTGAACTGTAATAATCCGGACGATGTCGCTGGTAGTGGCTTAGGCTCTTAGGCCGGATTTGCGTGGCGCGCCAAAAGAATACCCTCTGTGCCTGAACTGGTGATTGTGCTTGAACTGGTGATGTTTGCTTTATTGTCAATAAAGCAGGGGAAACCTTTTGGCTAAAAAAAATGTAGGTGCGAATGAATGGTGTCTGTGACTGCAAGCCCGGTGATGTGTAGTTTGATCCATTGTTTCCATGGCTTTCATGTCGGTGGTCTTCAGGGTTTGTGTAATTGTATCTTGAGCTAGTATTCAGATGGAGATTTAGTTTTTTTCTTCTTCAAGATCACATTTAGTTGGAACTATTTAGAAACCATGGGCTACCATTTGGAGCCGGACCAAGACAGCCCACTCCATACTGGCTCAACTGCTTCCTCCTAAACCCAATTCATACCGAACCGTTTTCCTGACCAATCCATTGGCAACGGACCAAAACGAGCCCAAAAAACAAAAACAAAAGTTAAAACCATGACCCATGGAAGGGCTAGTTAGTTGGCCCTTTTCGCTCAAACCGCGGCTGGAATCCCAGCAGGACCCCACGTGAGAATGTAAGGTCACCATGCAAAAATTCAAAATAAGATCCTAGATTTGAGATGTAACCAAATTATATATTTTAAATCATTACTCTTGATCACAAAAGACGCGCACGTATTTGAAGATTCAAATTTTGTTTATTTTGTTATCAATAATTAGTCTAATCAAGTGAAAAGTCAATGCAATAAAAGTAGTTAAATTAGATTTGTATTTATGAATACTTTCTAACGATTAAAATTTTATTACCAAAATGTGATCTCGAAGACTCGTATCAAGTCAAACCATGTCTTATATTTTGGAGAAGCATATAACTACAACATGTCTTTTCCTCAAAATGTTACATATCATATCCTTAATTCTTTTTTCTTCTTCTTATGTTTTTCTTGTTACTATACTACAAAGAACTAATTACTTAATTTGTATTAATATAGAGTAAATTTTGGAGCACCCCAAAATTTTCAAGACCGTGTCCTGTCGTGGCACTTCCGATGCCTATTCTATCAATGAGATTGATCTATACTCCATCCATTCCAAATTGTAAGTCGTTCGACTTTTTACATAATTTTTGCTACACACTTAGATATGCATTATGTCTAGATACAAAATAAAAATTATGTATATCTATAAAAGTTAGAACGACTTACATCTTAGAATTATTAGAAAGGAGGAAATAGATAAAAAAAAATTCTAAGCAGTTGGAAGCTCATTGGGCCCTAAAACGTCAACCCCAATGCATAGTTAAAGTCCTTGGTTCACGGTTTAATGGATCCAATTGATTGGACCGTTGGTCTAAAATAGCCCATGTTTACCGTCCTATTCGCTTGGCTTATAAACAACATTTTTTCAGTCAATGAATATTATTTTTCTCTCACAACAAATCAGCCAACAGTACTTTCAGTCATGGCTTATCAGCCAAGCAAACGGGGCATACAACATTAGCAGGCTGGGAGCCCATGTTTGCCCAGACTGTTTTTTGTTTTTTTTTGTTTTCAGCTTATGTATTCGTTTGTCATCAACCATATTATAAAGTTTAACCATAGGTTGATTAAGGGCATATTTTAAATTAGCACTAAAAATTAAGATAAAATTAGTGCTAGTGGATTCAAATAGACCTACAAATTATTAGCTAGAAGCTTGCTATCTATTAGTTTCCATTAACTGGTTTAGAGTTGCTAATAAACGCTAAGAACATCTCCAAGAATTTCCAAAACCCACTTTCCATCTTTATTTTTTGGCAAGATTGAAAAAACCCTCTCTGCAACAACTCTTTATCTCAACTACCAATCTTTCCGCACTTGGGAAATTAATCCAATCGTGCGTAAATATACGTGTGCATATCCAATCAACTGATTCAGAAGTGGAAGGATGTGGCGAATAATAAGAAGAATGGATAGAGTACCCAATGCAAAATGTACATGAGAGAAAGAAATTAAGTATGCATTAAAATAGTCCGAGATTCCTAATGCAAAATCGTTTTCTAGCTTTGAGGAGCGAGATATTGATAATGGTTAGAGGAAATCAGCAAATATGCTCCCTACTTTTTTAAATGCTTGGAAAACTCATTGATTTACCATTTTTTTAAACTATTGAAGATGCTTTAATAGTTTGTATAAAGCTTCAACTCACTATCCAACCACTTTCCTTATTGATAAGAATAGAGATTTTAGTGAAAATTTTCTTTAGTAGCTTTTTTTTAATTAGATCTCTAAGTATTATCATCGTGTATTCTGAATTTTTCGCTAGTTAAATATGAAAAACAGGATTGGGTCTCTAGAGTATGCACAAGATATAATGAAATTGTTGGAAGGTGAAAAGATAGAACAACTTTTATTCAAATAACTCTTCAAATAATGATTTAGAAAGTTTTTTTTTAAAAAACTCTTAAAGATGCTCTTAGCATGTGGATCCAACCGACCTCTTGCTAACAGCAAGAGACTCTGTCGTTATATTGATCTCACCACGCAGCCCAAACCCATCGTCATCAACAATCCACACAGTGACAGCCAAACAACACACACAGTCCTCCAAGTCCTAGATAGGCAACACGCTGTCAAGAGTGAGCACTCAGCTGGATGCGGTTTGTCAGTACTTGGGTGCGGCTTTCTGTCTACGGAGAGAACCAGCTAATCGCACGGCCAAATTAAAGACGGATCAAACACCACCACGGGTACAAATGGAGACCCAAACCGTCACCGTCAGCAACAGCTAGGCAGGCAGCGGGCAGCGGCCGCCGGCCGGCCAGAGCCAGCCAGGCTCTCTTTCTCCCCCAACAGCCCCCGTGTTTTAAGCCAGACAAACCGGCTAATCAAGCGCCAGTGAACGATGCTGCATCACGCAACACCAGCGAAGCAGCCCACCAAACCGGCCACGAATTCTCAACGAAAGGCGGGGCGGCCACGGGCGAATCACCAGAGAAATGCCAGATGGTTTCCAGCCAGACTCCTTTGTTTCCAAGGCTAGCCTCCCCTACCTCTACCTACTACCTGCCTCAGACCCTCGCTGTATATAACACTCCAAGTGATTTCGTCCCCTCCATCAGCGATCCAACACGACGAGCTTCACACAGCCTCCACGGCTTCTTCCTCTCTGCACTCGCAAGCAATCCATCTCGTCGTTCCACTACCAAGAACGAAGCAAATGGCGGCCACCCTGACGCTCAGGATCCTCACCGTGGCTGCAGCGGCTGCCGTCGTCGCCTCATCCTTGGTCGGCACGGCCTCAGCGGCTGAGGGACCGGCGCCCGCTCCGACGTCCGGCGCGTCCATGGCCGCGCCGGCTCTTGCCGCTGCGTCCTTCACCGCGCTTGCCTTCGGCTACCTCTTCTAAACGCCGTGGACATGCACGCGTACACGGTACACCGCGTTGCGCCAAATTGTTTGCCTGCTCAGATTTTTCTTCTTTTCTCTCTCTCGTGTTTTGGTGTGTATGGGTATGTAATTACGTGTTCAATTTTTTATTATGAGTATGAATCTTGTAATTAGTACATGGATATATGTATAGAGAGCTGCTGCAGTTTGGTTCTTTTTACACTGTTGAGAAATGCTAATTGGATTAAGAGTACTCTTGGATTCAAGTATTGGAATTTTCACTAATCTCCTCTCTTTATAGCAAAGCCAGCAGCTCGTAAGCAATAGTTGGCATTGGCAACAAACAGCCGGCCATCCTGCAAAATGTCACATTATCCACCACTATGCATCTTTATAGTATAGTGGTTTAAACATCTGTACATGTTTCTTTAAAAAAAGAAATAAATTCTTTTTATCAAAACTTGCAGAATATCATCCTAATCAATTGAGTTGTCCTTAGTATCTCATGACTTTAATTTGTTTCATCCCAAGGTTCACCAGATACCTGTATCATTCGATCCTGCAAGCACGGAAGACACCATGTGCAGACATCAATAATTGAGTGATTCCCATTGAATATAGCTGGTACAAGATGACATGATGATAAAATAAATTGCCTACCTATTAGTAGTGAAATACTGAAATACTAGTAGCTAAGTTCTCATATATTCATGGCATTCACATCTCCTGCATATATATAGGTACACATGACTGGCCGAATAGGCTTCTTATTCATCGTGTGCATTGTATAGGTCGCCACTTCTATTTGATACCTACAAAGGAGGGTGACAACTGACAAGAGAAGTTTGACAGTCTAGCTCGGGGGCATAAGATGAGATCTATTGTGAGTGCGAGGCATCAGAAATTAGAGGAAGTTGTTTGGTGGGGTTTAGGAGGCTCTAGCTCACACTATGAAGCCCATAACACCTTGCTTCACCGTTTTCTGTCTTCCTACAGTTTAGTTTATTTTAACTAAAGATAGAGGTATTACGGCAAATACAGCTGGAGCAGCTGTTTTGTCTGTGTCGAACACCCCCAATAGTGGTTCTACAATGGAGTTACATGTGAAGCCGTAGCTTTTGAGCTACGTCAAAGAGGCTCTTAGCTACATGCTGTGTCACACTCTAGGGATTGTGACATTGGAAGACAAAATCATTGGGAAAGAACATCGGAGATATTTTTGTATTTAATGACATATACTTTAAGCCACCGCTTAAAAAAAATCTGTGGACGCCAATCTTAATACTTATACCATTCGATTTTATTTAGGGGAAATTGGATCGTTAGTGTGCTCCTTAGTGATTTTTCTAAACTTGTGGTGTATCACACCTTGGGCCAAAACAAATGAATAACATTTGTTTTTCATACATTGACTTGCTAGGTGCAGTAGAAAAACAAAGATACTTTTTTATGGAAAGGGTAAAAATTTTAGGTGATTTGGCGTTCATGTCCTCGTTTTGAACGGAAATGGTCATTTTGTCCTTATTTTTTAAACTTTGTGATTTTATCTCTGCGTTTTCAAATTAAAATGAAGGAAGAGTTTGCCATCCGTGTTCTCTTTTGGATGAAAAGGCAAGTTTTCCCATATAATTTTGCCCCTGTTTTGTTAGAGGCCTTTGTGATTTTACCTTTATTTTGGGATCAAAGGTTTAGACTATACTTTGACACATTTGGTAGGGATTTGTGTAGCTAAATGTGAAACAGTTTGCATTATTTTTAAATCAGTCACGTCCATCCTTCACCTTTGGACCAATTACATCAAATTTTACAGCAGCAATGCAAACAAGTTGTGAAGATGCATCATGGAACACACAAAATTGCACAAAATAAAAAAAAGACAATAACAGAAACAACCGGACCTGCATCTAAAGAACAAAATTTCCTGTAATTGATGAGCAAGAACTCTTTTTTCACAAATGCTAAACAAATAACTAGATTTTCCTAAGCCAGACAAAATTTAGATTTATAACCGGAAGCAACTAGCCCAACTACAGAGTATAAGCATAGAAAAATATAAGAACCAAAAATAACCGAAGATAGGACGAGAACACTGAACAAACAACTAGCTCTTCTATTGGCATGGACATGCACGCGTACATCACGTTGTTCCAAATTGTTTGACTGCTCAGAGTTTTTCTTATTATCCTTTTGTTCCTCATGTGTTTTGGTGTGTATGGATATGTAATTACGTGTTCATTTTTTAAATATGAATATTGGAGAGAGAGAGAGAGAGAGCTACAATTTGTTTTTTTATACTGTTGAGAAATGCTAATAATTGGATTAAGAGTACTTTGGATTAAAGTCCTAGTTTAATTTTTCACTAATCTCCTCTCGTTATGGCAAAGCCAATGAATGCCAGCATCCAATTCCTCCTGCAATGGTCAGCAGCTCGTATACTGTAAGAAGTCACATTGTTACATGGTCCATGACTATGCATCTTTGATTGTTTATACACTTGTACATGTTTAATTCTTTTATTGAAACAAGGAGAATATCACCAAATCAATTGAATCGTCCATAGTATCTTGTGACTTTAATCCCAAGGTCGCCACATACCTTTATCATTTGATCCTACAAGCACCCAAGACCATGTGCAAACATCAATGATTGATTTATTCCCATTTTAATATAACTGGTACTCGATGGCATGATAAAATAGATTGACATACCCACTAGTGAAATACTAAAATACTCGTACTTAAGTTCTCGTACATTCATAGCATTCACATACTCGTGCATATATATATATGTACACATGACTGTGGTTGAATAAGCTTCTTAGTCATCATGTCCATTGTATCTCACCACTTTTATTTGCTACATACGGGGGAGGGTAACAACTGACAGTAGGAGTCTAGTAGTCTGGCTCAAGCTGGCATGAGATGAGATCTCTTGTGAGTGCGAGGCATCAGAAACGAGAGGAAGTGAAGCCAACATGTAAGGCTTGTTAGGTGGGGTTTACGAGGCTCCTCTTTCTCCTCAAGGAGCCAGTGAAGCCCATAGAAGTGAATCTCATAGAACCTCAGTAAATAACAGTGACACTGCAGTGGAGTTACATGCGAAGCCGGCTCTAGTTCTGTCTTCAGTTCTCTCTTCTTTTTTTAAGCCACCACTCCCGTTCTCTGTTCTTCTCTTGTTAAAAAATCAATAACTTTGGAAGACAATATCTCAACATGTATACCATTTAAACTTATTCGGGTGAAAATCATACAGTTAGCCACTATACCATAGCCCATCTATAGCAATTCCTTTTGTGTTGGTATAAGTCTGTTATAGCGACATACATTTGGTCAGTATAGATATATGCCGACCCCCCAGCATCGTTGAGTGTACTCCTTAGTGAAATTCATAAACTTGTGGTGTATCATACCTTGGGCTAGAACAAACGAATAATTTATGTTTTTCATACATTGACTTGCTACGTGCAGTAGAAAAACAGAAACAATTTAGTCTGATAACATTGACTGTTGCTACGTGCATGTTTAGGCCTGCTATCAAAGTGCAAGAATTTCACTAGAAAACAACAAATCTGGAGATGCCCCACGTTCCCAAGGGGACTCACAATAAAGGAAATTGTTTGGATCATGTAGGATCCCCTAGACTTTTCTTGTCACTAGCAAACCAGTGCAGAATCATTTTAATATTATAGAGAAATTTTACATAACATTTTCTTGTGATGCTGACATTTTCTCAAAAAAAAAACATTTCACTATTGTATTAAAGTCGGAAACATTTTTTTAAAGTTGGCACTTTTTTAACAAAACAGGGCAGGTGCTCTGCCATGTCATTATAGAAAAACACATAAAGTATTAACAGGAATTCAGTGATAGCACTGAACAATAAAAAGAAAAGAAAAAGAACATGACTAAAAGTAATAGCAACAACTAATTTTGTCTTCTCTACTGGATCTCATATCCCGCGCTTGCTGGAACAACAAAATATCTTTATATAACTACTGTAGCAGTTCATGTTGGTTGTGTGCTTTTTTGCTGAAGATTCAGCAACGACATTCCTTCCATATATTCCATGTTGTATAAAGTTTATATACTCTCATGTGCATATAGAAGTTCATTCCACCAATCCTTGATGTTGCATATTGAATGATTGAGGGCTAAGTATTTTTGATTCGACCCGCTTCAATCAACTGCCAGACTGCCTTCGTATTGGTGCAGTTCGCCATCGGATGTGTGGGTGATTCTAGCCGATGAGCAAAGGTTACATGTTGGCTTGGCTTGGCCTCCTTTTTGCATAATACGATCGGCAGTTAGAAGCTTCCATTGTAGCAACAACCAAATGAAGAATCTACATTTGTTTTCTATCTAAAGTTTGCAGACTTTTGCCCAGTCGTGATCCGTGTGGGTGCCAATGAATTGTGCTCTAGAAGCTGATCTCACGGAGTAATAGCTGGACGATCTCACTCACCATCTGATCTCGTCCTCATCTTGATCGAACACTTTGTACTGTATAGAGAGTTGCAGTTTGGTTGTTTTTTCACTGTTGAAAAAAATGCTAATAATTGGATTAAGAGTACTCTTGGATTAAAGTCCTAGATTTTCACTAATCTCTTCTCTTTATGTCAAAGACAATGGAATGTCTACATCCTATCCTCATGCAATAGTCAGCAACTCGTATAGCACTAGTAGTTGGCATTGGCAACACACGCCTTAGGAAATAGAGACCCTTGTTAGTCAATGCCAGCTTGGCAGCTGCACAGCCTGCAAGAAGTCACATTGTTATTACATGATCCACAACTATGCATCTTTGCCCCTTTGGTGGTTTACACATCTGTACATGTTTAATTTCTTTTATTGAAACTAGCAGAATATTAGCCTAATCAATTGGGTCGTCCTTAGAATCCCGTGACTTTAGTTTGTTTCATCCGAAGGTTCACCATCTAAACCTTATCATTTGATCCTGCA